CAGTGGTGGCCTCAGGAGTTGGGGAAGCAGAAGTGGTGGCAGAGACAGAGGTCACAGCTGTAGTGCTGGCTGGGATAGACGTCGAGGCAGAGGTCCCCTGAGTGGTGGCAGATGAGGTCACGGAGGTGGTGACGGTGGTGGCCTCAGGTGTTGGAGAAGCAGAAGTGGTGGTGGAGGTAGAGGTCATCCCTGTGGTGGTGGCTGGGACAGTGGCCGAGGAGGAAGTCCCCAGAGTTGTGGCAGGTGAGGTCACAGTGGTGGTGGGAGTGGTGGACTCAGGAGTTGGGGAAAAAGAAGTTGTGGCGGAGGCAGAAGTCAACCCTGTGGATGTGGCTGGGACAGTGGACAAAGAAGAGGTCCCCTGAGTGGTGGCAGGTGAGGTCACGGTGGTGGTGGCAGTGGTGACCTCAGGAGTTGGGGAAGCAGAAGTGGTGGCGGAGGCAGAGGTCATCCCTGTGGTGGTGGCTGGGACAGTGTCCAAGTTCCCCTGAGTCGTACTAGGTGACGTCATGGTGGTGGTGGGAGTGGTGGCCTCAGAAGTTGGGGAGGCAGCCGTGGTGGCAGAGGAAGAGGTCACAGCTGTTGTGCTTGCTGGGACAGTGCCCGGGATGGAGGTCCCCTGAGTGGTTGCAGGTGAGGTCATGGTGGTGGTGACGGTGGTGGCCTCAGGTGTTGGAGAAACAGAAGTGGTGGCGGAGGCAGAGGTCATCCCTGTGGTGGTGGCTGGGACAGTGGCCGAGGAGGAAGTCCCCAGAGTTGTGGCAGGTAAGGTCACGGTGGTGGTGGCAGTGGTAGCCACAGGACTGCTGGCAGAGGTAGAAGTCACCCCTGTGCTACTGGCTGGGATGGTGGCTGCGGAAGAGGGCCCCTGAGTGGTGGCATGTGACGTCACGGTGGTGGTGGCACTGGTGGCCTCAGGAGTAGGGGAAGCAGAAGTGGTGGCGGAGGCAGAGGTCACTCCTGTGGTTGTGGCTGGGACAGTTGCCGAGGAGGATGTCCCCTGAGTCGTTCCAGGTGGGGTCACAGTGGTGGTGGCAGTGGTGGCTACAGGAGTGCTAGCGGAGGTAGATGTCACCCCTGTGGTACTGGCTGGGACAGTGGC